TGTTATGCTTTGATTACTGATATCAGTCTGAGCTTGGGCGTAATAAATTATGTTTAGTAAACATTGTAACATATTAATAAATAAACAATCTACCTAAACATTTATATATCTCATTTTTATATTAATTTAATGCTCCTACTTTACTTTAGCTATCCTAATGAAAACTTTCACATACATAAGCTTCAAATCACATATACATAAGCTTTAAATCACATCATTGCGTGAAGATCTACACATAGCTAGAGCAAGAATTTAAAAATATTAGCTTAATGAAAAACCGACCAAATGTATGTAGAACATTCGATACTGAGCCCATAAGTACTTTACAAGATTAAAAAGTAGAAGAAAATACCGCGGTGTTCATTAATCAGTGGATTAGATACTCTGATTATTTACGACCAAATCTAAAACGTACGGAATTTAATTTCATTAGGGGATTTTAGTGGCACTATGTTGACACCCGCTGCGCCGGGGCAGGCACAGCGGCGTATTTTACCCAGCTGTCACACGTCGACCAATCGCAAGCGAGAACCCAACACGCGTTCCAACTTTAAAAATGGTGGAGATAATTTTCATTGTATATTATTTGTGACAGGTCGTTATTTTGAGTTTTTATCGGTTCATGCTTTCAATATTTCTTAAAGATATCTTCGCTGGTTGCCCACAACTCGAGTTTTAAATTTATTTTTTATGTCTTTTATACTTATACATTTTACGTCAATGTTGATATTCACATCTATAAGTATGCACAGCTAGAACATAAAGATTGCCGTTCTATATATTTTCTCCCGGGCAAAGTCAACTACTAAAAACTTCCATAAAACAACAATTTCAAACGGGCCATTTCGTCCGGGAAAAACAGCATCCCCGTTGGTGGGGGTGGCAAAATATCGAAGGGGAGGAAGCAGGGTCCAAAGTGAAGGCTGGTGGTTTATGTTGCGGAATTACGACTTAGACGTTTCAAACAATAACTCCTACCATAAATACGGACCCATTTCTTCACGCGTCATAGCACAGATTGTTTTTCTTTGATATTCTTTTCAATAATCTGTCCTAGATTTATATTATGGTACATTGTTATAAGGTGCATCTCATCCCAAGTATTGTAAAAGTAAAAAAAAACGTGATTTTTAGCTCTACTAAACTGATAATGTAATATTACATTTATAGAATACACTTGTTATTTTTCTTTATTTAACGACCATTAATAAAACTTTAATTTATAAAAGGTAAAAAAAAAGGTAAAAGGGTAAAACTGAATACACACTTAGACCTACTGCTATCATGGTAGTATCATATCAGCAAAAAAAAAATAAACACATTGACTATGTAGTATTTTTAATATTAAGTTATTTAATTCGAAGTAAGAAATTATTAAGTACAATTTATTAACGGCACTCATTTTAAAGTTTAAACTTTGTCTTCGTTTTAATTACCTACTAAAGAAGACTATTTTAGGAATTAATGGTCTATATTTTTAGAATTTATGACTTTAGAACCAATTCAGATTAATATCCAAATAATCTACTTTTTCTCGGATAACTCTATTTTAGTCGGGTTATTTTTGATGTTCCTAACTAGAGAGCTCATATTTAAAAAAAAAAGTTGAAGTTCAAATTTAAAAAAATTAACTTCTTTTATGTGCCATATAACTTGAATTGCACTAATCGTTAATATCACAAGAAATATGGGGTCAGTCCAATAATGGTAGTTGCGTCATGAAATTGGACCACGTCCACATTATTCCCGCTACAGCAATACCGGCACGCGCTGACCGATCTTAGGAATTTCCTATTTCCACCCGCGCTGACCTCCGAGGCCCGGCTCGCTCCTAATCTAGCAAACGTAATAAAACACCCCGTAATAAAAGCGCACGTTTTCACGTAGACCGTAAAAATATGATAACGTTCACGTACGATAGCTTAACGTTACTCACATATACAACTTCACAAAAAGCTGCGATTTTTTTCTCTTTTAATATAAAGCGGTAATTGAGTTGAGTTAGTACGTACCTGATCCCATACATGTAAAATTATGTAGCGCGTATTCTCCCTGTTTTATATAAAGATAATATATTCTAGTAAAATACATATCGAGTATTACTTTTAGGCACTTGGTCAAGACAAATATAATAAAAATTGTAGGTATAGTTGCTTTTATTTACTAATTGTAATGCATCGGCATCGGACGTACCTAGGTCTTTACATAATTTTTAAGTATATATTAAGGTTTAGACTACGTAAGAAGGAAAAATATATTATTTGAAGACTTGTAGGAAAACTATAAGTACTTGGTTAGTTTTTCTACTTAAAGAACCTCATTAAGTCTTATTACATATATAAATCTGTTTTGAACAATTATGTAACTGATGATGAAAACCGCATCAAAATCTGTTTCATAGTTTAAGAGAACTTAGCGGATATACCTACCTACAGACAGACCTATCGTGAAGCTTTCTACTTAACCTGGATGGACACCCTGGAGTTGTCTGAATAAAGTTTTAGAATAATGCTATAACTTATATGTTGATCGAACATCAAGTAACTACCTACCTATGTAATTATTTAAAAAAAACATTACGTATTTAATATTTTTATGTAGTTATATCTTACCAATTACTATCAATCATCCTCTTGACAGTATTAAATTAAAGGTAAACAGTCCTTAATAAAAAGTATTAAGTATTCTTTTGAGTGATACCTACATAGAAAAAAATGTAGGTAAAACGAGTCTCGTCATATCAAGATCAGTTCACACATTAACACTTTACATAACGACTGCGTTTGCACTAATTAGTCGGTTTTAGAACAAAGAATTTTAATGCGTAGTTTTATAAAAAAACATTTTTTCTAGCCTCCGCAATATTCCACTTGTAAATAAAGTGGCTTTTCATTATGATATTCCGCCTACTTACGGCTCTTTTTACAATAGAACTGTGGTGATGTGAGAATAAATATTTTTACATTTTCTATTATACTGTGTAATATAATAATTAACACCACGGTGGTTCCCTATTTAACGTGTAACCAAATTTAAAACATGTTAGTTGCTATTTAGAATAAAATAACAGTTTATTAATTTCAGTATTACCTACAGCAATGTTTAGAAATATACGGAAAAACTAAATCGGAGAGTCAGCTTATGCTTGGACTTCACATGGATTACCCATCTAAGTTGTTGTGTGTAATACTAATCGGAGATTGTTATTAGTAACCGCATATTTCAGTTTGTGACCAATCACAAACTGAAATATACGGTTATAAATCACAAATGATTAAAAAGAAATATTTCTATATACTTACAAATCTGTCTCGCATACTTTGCTATATATTTACACCGACATATGCTATGACTTCAGGTTCTTTAGCTTATTATACATCAAGTATTTTTTAAAGGTATTAAGTATTTAGGTTAGTTCAAAATTTAAAACCCAACGATGACAGAGGCAGCTTCAAGATGTTATTATTAATTCATATTTGTTTGTATTCTCGAATAGGTACCTATACTTTCACGCATATTTCATTAGCTAATTTTAGATTCCATGTAATACAAACAAACTTAGGTATCAATTAAGATACATAACATACATATAAATAGGTATTACACAATTTAATCTGCTTTACTGTACGTACACAGGACATATAAATATTGCTAATTTGGGAGTTGTCTTTAAAAAAATCGCACGAAAACCAGAAATAACAAGTAGATTCCTATAACTTAACCTATCTATATTCAATCTATTAATTTCAACGTCTATAGTAAAATTACACAAAAGTGATCACGGTCCAGGGCGAGCAATAAACCCAAGTTCAGCTCTCCATGCAAGTAATGGAATTGCGAATTATACTGCCGCATCCATGACTACGATTAGACTAACGATATAACCTTGACATCAACAAAGCATGGATTTTATTGCTTTGACTGCAGTTAGCTGCCTATGCTGCACTGGCAATACTAGCTAGCATTACTGTCAATTACTCAACATTCCAACTTATTTATTTGAAAACTGAAGCATAATAATTACTGTCTTGCCTTAAAAAAACATCTAAAGTAGGTAATTTAATTAATGTGTAAAATATTTTCCTGGAGCACGCGCTGCTTCCGTGTAATAATGGCATGAGCTAAAATGGCGTGTGCTCTAGGCAGCTGATATACAGCGGCCGACTGGTGCACACACAAATTTCACGGATTCTTACAGTCTGGGATTTACCTAAAAGTTATTTAGGCAAGTAGTATTTATTTCACGGATTCTTACAGTCGGGGATTGAAATTAATTTAAGCCAGAAGTTCTTTTTTCATAGATTCTTATATATAGATGTATGTATACCTATATTAGTAACTTATCTACTATTTACTTAATGATGTTTTAACACGTACTTATAATTAGACAAAAGAACATAGGTAGATGGTATGAGTTCTAAATTACAGATAAGCATACTTATAAATACATTTTTGGAAACATTAGCACTTATCTGGAATCTTAATGATGCAGACGAACACTTCACCACTCAAGACATTTTCATCTTCTTCATCATCGAGTCTTCGAATACATCAATAATGGATAATAACACATCATTTCCATCAGATCACCCGTCTGCTCGTACACACCCTGTAGTGTAGAAAAAATTAAGGTAAAATACACTTTCCAAGTAAATATATACATAGATGTAGAGGGCTAGTTCGTACCTACCTACATACATTTGTCACCTCCACAGATGTATCTGACTTGGTCTGCTTATAGCAAAATCCTTGAAAATATGAGGTTTATCATAAATAGTTAAGGTTTCTTTAGAATATTAAAATAACATATCTATAGACAAAATTTAAGTATAGGTACCTCTATCTACATTTGTTCGGTCCTGCTTTCCACCGTCAGCAGGCGCCTAGACGCCCCTCCATAAAGGTGGATTAATACAGCCGAAAGCCCAACTTACTTAATAAATATAAAAGCCTTCTCCACCCGTGATCGTAAACCGCCCACTGTGCTCCTCCAAGATTACTTATATCACGACCAGGAAAATTAGATCCTCCGTTTTCATTACCGTGCCCAATTTGTGTTTGTTGACGAGAACGGTTGTAAGGTCTTGTTTCGGTGGTCTTGCTATTATCAGCGCTATGTAGATTGCGCGTCGCTTGCCCGCCTTGCTTTCTCCGAGATAAGGTTTTATGGACGCCTCGAAGAAAGGATAATGTTCTCTTTTGATGTAAGAATGGAATTGTAGGCCGCGTTCTACTATCACTGTAAAGATAGATACAGTTTCATTTTTATTCGATAAGATGTTTGTTTTGATCCTTTGTTCGTTTTCCATTACATGCATTAAATTTAATAAGCATTAAAAAGGTGAGATTAAATATAATGTCATTTAATCTCACCTTTTTTTGAAATAGGTATCTTCATCATAATCATCAATACCCTTTAATAGTCCACTGCTGGCCTCTCCTTAGGAAGGAGGTTATGGCCTATACCACGCTGGCTGGGTTAGTGGTATGTGTCAAGTTTTTCTTCTCTTTGCAGTGCTGTTGTCCTGCGTAGTGCGTGAATAGGGGTGGTGACACTCCGTGTTCTTAGTCCGCCACCACACGTGATAGGTATAATATTGCCTTTTTAACCAAAAATTCATGAAGGTCAGAATCTACTACTAGGTAGATATACTTAAAACTGACACTACTAAAAACTGATAATGTAGAAAATGAGAAGTTTCTTAAGTGTTGCCTAATTAATTTGGATAAATAGGAATGTTATTTTTTTTGCAGAAAGTATAATAAACCGAATCTAACGTATTTTTAACTGACACTACTTATCATAACAAAAATAATATTAGCAACTATGCTTTTACTCGATAACAGTACTTCTTTCTAAATGAAAGGCGACTTGCCTTTCATTTAGAAAGAAGTAGCTACTGTAAGTATTTATAATAGGTAAGTATAAACCAATGAAATATTTTAGACAAGGCTCTCACATTAGAACCAATTCATAATATAATTAAAAAGAACATAAACCTCACAAAAAAAACACTTTATAAATTTTTTGCCTCAGACATGGCTAAGGGCAGTGTGAAACCCACTCAATCCAAAGATAAACAAACTTACAAATCAATAGATCGAAATTCAAAATCACGTCACGTGCCCACGCGCCTCTCCATCAGTTTCTAACTCGCGGCTGTAAAATTAGTCGAATTAACGCACCAGTGCGACCGATTAGCAGCCAAGCTTTAATTGATAACCAATCCGTTATATATCACATACAAATTAACTATAAATCGTGTAGGTGTGCACTATAATATTAACATGAATTTTTATTATACATCCATTAATCAATGTCTGGCTTATTGTAATGTTAGTTTTTCTAAGATATGTTTGTTTTTCAGATTTTACAACTTGTTTCAAATAGTAACAACATGTTCTGTTGGTTTTCTTCGGATGTTCTTCTTCATTCCTCATTTAATAACATACGGATTAAGTACGATTTTAACATGACTGCTAAAAAACCCCATTTACATATTGTAAATGTTCCCCATTTACATATTGGGTATCTTTACAACGCTTACTTACATCATACCGAATGACACTGGCTATAAATAAAAAAACAATTGATTAGTGAATGATTTCGTCTCGTAATTTGTCTTTTGGCAGCGCAGTTTTTTATTTGTTAAATTAGTAAATTGTTTATTATTATATCTCTCCTAATTATAATAAATATGACAGGTATCTTTTTGCTGAAGAACCCGTTAATCTTTGTGACTATCAGTCTGATTATTTTTCTTTGATAACTCTTTTCGTAGTAGAGTAGTGACCATAAACTAGATTGAAATTGTGAGAAACGGCTAGTTCAACATCTAGATGCAATAAATATTAGTAAGACGTTTGCCTTTGTTAGTGTAGTAGTTTTGGTTGGATTTTTTTTTAAGTTTAAACTATTTTAAAAGTTAATTATAAAGGAAAAACACATCAGTTGTAAGATTGACATAGTGAAGATTTAACAAGTATATATCATTCAGAATAATTATTTAGTACCTTGATTGCTATAGCTTATGGATTAAAAGGGTTTCCATGTAAAATCGAGACCAAATTAATATTCTCTTACAAGTCCCGTGTATCTAAGTCAATAAAATTTATTTTTCAGTAAACCGCCGTACCAAGCATGGGCGGTAAGGACCGGCGCACACTGTACAAAGTTGCCAGTAATTTATGGTGGGCTGCTTTATGAGCTATGGGCCAAGTTCGCACATGCACCGACGCAACTTGTATAGAAGTCATAAATATCCGCTAACCCCTTCCATGAGGTCAGGTACGTATATACAATACCTATGCGTAAAATACGAGCTGTTTTGCTTCTTGCCGACTATACCTAGTTTTTGAATTGTTAATGGCTGTTCCATTTTAGATTCCATCTACTTAAATAGAAAAGAAACCGTATACATAAAACATTCTAGGATCTATCTGAGCATTAAATAAATTGTAATAATATTTGAACCAGAAGACCAAAAAATTGTTAGTGTTGTCTCTCATACAAAAAATAAGTATTAAAATGAAATAGATGCTATCCACAGTCATCAAAATTGATTATACAACGATTATTTCAATTAATAAAACGCTTTACGCATACTTAAAGCAACTTAGTAGTAGTAGAGAAATCACCATAAAAATAACACTTAATTTCAGCTTGCAATTACGAGGCAGTTAAAGGGCGGCTGCCAGAGGCCCGACACAGCCATTACATTAGCTCTGCACTTACCATACATACTAACTAGCCTATACGTTATACACTTAGAAGCCGACGGGATCGTAAAAATAAAGAATAGGCGCATTTACACTCGCAAAAGTGAAAAAATAAAACGTTTCTCTTGCGGCGTGTAAAGCGGTCGGAGCATTTCGGTATAGATATGTAGGTACGTCCATCAATTCTTACTTTAAAACACTTTTACTTAGAAAATTGGATCTGTGGTTCCATGTTACATTAAGAAAGTCGACCGTCTCTACTTATAGACCACTATATTCAGTTTCTAATAAGTTTCGAACTAATAACTTAGATTGTAGACAGAGGCTTTTATTGCCAGTTATATTTTATGATTATGTTAGCTAGTTTAATTTTCATAAAGATTGATGATTCGTTTAAGTTTTTTTATAAAAGCAAGGGAATTACTACTACTACGATCGGTACCTACTTGGTGAAATTTGAACCATTACATTTGAATTAGTGAAATCTGAAACAGACCTATTTCATTTAAACAAATCATTAAAAAAATGAAATGTCATAGACGTTCTATGACATTTCATTTTTTTAAATGATTTGCGGCTATACCTTCTACTTTTTTGTGACGTAATTAATTTTTGATCACATTTTCCCCTAAAGATGTTATTTTATGGTAAACCTATATGAGCCTAAATTTACCACATATCTAGTATGATTCATGAAATTTTGAATTAAAAAACGTTAAATGGTATGAATTTAATCGATGGAAGCTGACAAAATACAAAAATAAAAATATTTCTAATGTATCTATATTCTGTAATAATAACCACGTTTTAACAATAAAAAGTGGAATTAATTTCGTGGAAATTCTTCCTAATCGTTTTTAACACGCAATCTACTAGTATTCCCTAACTTTTGGGTCTTAATTTTGTGTTGCAAATAGTTTTCATCAATTTCCTTTCTTTTTTAACCGACCTCAAAAGAGAAGGAGAAGGTTCTGAACACTTCTAATTTCATTTTTATGCTTCAACAACAGCCTTTAATAGTCCACTGCTGGACATATCCCTCTCCTTAGAAAGCAGGTTTTGGACTACTATACCACGCTGGCCAGACGGGTTCGTATAGGGTTTTTTTTTCAACAATAGGGTTTTCCGTGAGCTGTGGCGGCGTGCTGTTGGCGGTGTCATTAGACATCGCCAACGCATTCAATAGTCTGCCATTCAGCTGCATCAGGGAAGCACTCCACTATCATGGGGTGCCAAAGTACCTGAGGCGGCTAGTGGCAGACTATTTAGACTAGCGTACCGTCGTGTACGAGGTCCGAGATGGTAATTTGAGGTGTCGGCCCATGTCGTGCGGTGTTCCGCAGGGGTCTGTTCTTGGACCCCTCTTGTGGAACATAGGGTACGACTGGGCCCTTCGAGCCGATTTCCCCCCCGTGCTGAGTGTAATTTGTTACGCAGACGATACCCTGGTTGTCAGCCCGGGGGGCAAACTTCCAAGAGGCGGCGCGCCTGGCCACAAGGGGAGTCTCCCTGGTGGTCGGGCGCATTGAGGCGCTGGGCTTACGGGTGGCCCTAGATAAGACGGAGGCTCTCCTATTTCATGGGCCCCGTCGTGGTCCACCCCCTGCCGCCTCAATCGTGGTCAACTCGGTCCTCGTACCGGTTCGGGCCCAGATGAAATATCTGGGCCTGATCCTCGATGGGAGGTTGCTCTTCGACGAGCACTTCCGACAGCTTGCTCCAAAGCTGGTCGGCGCTGCGTCTGCCCTAGGGCGACTTTTGCAAATTTGGGTGGACCCAGCGTCGCGACAAGACGGCTGTACACGGGGGTTGTCCGGTCAATGGCACTATACGGTGCACCGGTGTGGGCGGCGGCTCTGACCGCCCAGAATAGGGCACGCCTCTGGCGCCCTCAGAGGGTAATGGCGGTCAGAGCCATACGCGGTTACCGCACCGTTTCGACGGAGGTGGCGTGCGCGTTGGCCGGAACTCCCCCGTGGGATTTGGAGGCGGAAGTGCTCGCCAAAGTTTATCAGCGAGTGGCTGACTCCCGGGCGGAGAGCGGATTTCGCCCTCCGCCCGAGGATGTGCGCGAGTGGCGCGAAGCCGCTCGCCGAGCCACGATGGCTCGTTGGTCGTTCCGGCTGGAGACTCCACGCGCTGGCTTCGCCGCCGTGGAGGCTCTCCAGCCGGTCATCGCCGAGTGGGCAGGGCGGCAGCATGGGACCCTTACCTTCCGGCTGACGCAGGTGCTTTCCGGGCACGGTTGCTTCGGAAAGTACCGTGTTAATTGCCTTGGGTCAACATATTATGCGTAAAATACGAGCTGTTTTGCTTCTTGCCGACTATACCTAGTTTTTGAATTGTTAATGGCTGTTCCATTTTAGATTCCATCTACTTAAATAGAAAAGAAACCGTATACATAAAACATTCTAGGATCTATCTGAGCATTAAATAAATTGTAATAATATTTGAACCAGAAGACCAAAAAATTGTTAGTGTTGTCTCTCATACAAAAAATAAGTATTAAAATGAAATAGATGCTATCCACAGTCATCAAAATTGATTATACAACGATTATTTCAATTAATAAAACGCTTTACGCATACTT